TCAAAGCTCAATTTCGGGAAAATATTTTCTTTCCTGTTGTATAAGAACCCGATAAATTCAAGAAATGTTAAAATTTCATGAGACATGTCGATAAAATTTTCACTTTTCAATTACGCCCAGATTCCTGCCGAATGCCAATCAAAAGCGCCCTCGTTCTTTGGGGCCAAATGAACGCACTTTGAAATAAAAATCTTTTCAAAGTGCGTTCATATCGACCATATTAAAGGTACTTGGACACAGATTTGAAGTCAATATTTTTTCTATAATATTACGACATATATATTTTAATAGCATTTCACACAAAAATTAATTAAAAATCTTATTTCATTTGAAAGTTATTAAAATTTGAATTTTTTTTGATTGACAGATCCTTGCACTTTCACAAATTTTAACCTTTTTCTTAATCTTTAGGAAAAGTGGCATTCTTGTGGTGTATTAATGAGAAATATTAAAACTTCTATCCAGAAAAATAGTTGTATTCAGAGTACAAATGTTAGAAAGCAAAACTCCCTCAAGTATCGTCATTCCTAACTAAGGGTTGCATACAGAGTTGAGCAAATCGAGCACACTCGTGTTATGTACACAGTTTTTGTAAATAGGGCTCGAGTTCTGTTATTGGTTATATTTAGAATTCACCGGGTGCGTTCAATCGTCACAGTCTGCTTACCACAACTGCACGGACTGACAATATATTGTGTGTTTGTTTTGCTTACGAACATTTCTACTCTGAATTTTCTGGATTATAGTATTAATATTTTTTTTTTTTTTTTTTTTTTTTTTTTTTTTTTTTTATTCACACAACATACATCATTATAAACATATTTCAAAAGAAACAGACTGATGTGTTTTTTTTTTTTATTTTAAGAGAGATAGAAATGATAGAGAGAAAGATAGAGGGGAGAGCAGAGAGAGAGAGAAGAGAAAGAGAGTGTGTAAAGATTCAAGTTAAGAGAATAGAAGATTCCACCTGTTCCACTGGGTATCAAACTTTTCCTTTTTACCATTCTTATAAGAGATAATTTTCTGTGTTTCATAATGAAATTTCATTTGTGATATTGCATTTTGTAAGTTAATATGTTTCTTTGTGCACCTGGCAGTATAAATATAGTATTTTAGCCAAAGTAGAATGACATTTTGAATATCAGTATTTTCCTCAATAAATCCTAAAATAAAAGATTTCTTAGTAACATTTATCATTAAACCAGTTTTTTCTTCTAACAAATGTACAAATTCTTCAAGAAAAAATTGTGTATTATCACATTCCCATAAAAGGTGTTCTATTGTTTCATCCTCAGTATGACAAAAACTGCATAATTTACAGTCATTTTTTCTTATTTTGAATAAAAATGAATTTGTTGCTAGGATTTTGTTTAAAATCCTATATTGGAACCATTGTAGTTTACAATCTTTTGTTACCCTAAAGGGTATCATGTGAATTTTTTTCCATTCCTGAGTTCCAACTTCTAAAAGCTCACTCCAATAAGTTCTACCTGCTGTGACAGAAGAATTTTGAATAAGGATTTCATAATAGCATTTAGATTTTCTACATTTTGTTACTGTGTAGATATTAGACATAATCATGGGATTTGTGAGCTTTTTTATTGTTTTTTCCTGACCAGAGTTTTTCATCCAATCCTTTATAGCATGAATAATACTCCTGAATTCTAAGAAATTAATCTTTATATTTGGATAGGTGTTACACAACTGCTCATAAGAAAATAGTGAACCATCTTCATTACTGATATCATTAATTTGTCTAATGTTGCTCTCAAACATATTTTTATTATAAAATGGTTTTCCGCCAATATGCAAATTTGGATTGTAAAATAGTGGTGAGTCACCAGCAACATCAAACTTTTTCTCAAGATTTTGTAACATTATCCAGGACTTAAAAACATCTATCCAAAATTTATTTTTTAATGTTTTTAAAAAAGTTGAAGTATATTCAATTCCACAACTAATAAATTTGTTCAAATTAAATTTAGGAATGAGGTTTTCCAACCCTCTATTTGTAAAAATTAGATGCCTTATCCAAAATAATTTCATGGAGGCTATAAAAGATGTCAGATTTACCATTTTTAAACCCCCCTCTTCATATTTTTTTACAATTACTTCTTTCTTAACCCTATGGGTTGAATTATTCCATATAAATGAAAAAAACATTTTTTCCAATTCCTTACAGAATGATTCAGAAGGATTTGGGATGGACATTAAAATATGATTTAGTAATGGTAGAACTAAAGTTTTAATAACAGTAATTTTCCCTATGGGAGTTAAATACCTTTTCTCCCATTGTTTAAGTATTGATTTAATATGTACCAGTTTTGGTTCATAATTTAATGGTAGTATTTTATCCAATTCTACATCAAAATGTATTCCAAGAAGAGTAAATCTGGTAGTTCCCCAGTTAAGTTTGTAATTTGGAAGCAAAATTTCGTCACTAAACTTTTTTGAGCCTATCCACACTATGTGAGTTTTGGAATAATTAATATGTAATCCCGACATTTCTGAAAATGTCTTAAGTGTTTGCAGTGTTTCTGTGAGTGACGTTTTACTACCATCAAGAATAATTGATGTATCATCCGCTAACTGAGAAATCTTTTTTTCAGTATTGTTTATAGAAATACCTTTAATATTTTTATTTAATCTAATTTGGATTGCTAAAATTTCTGCACATATAATGAATATATATGGTGACAAAGGATCGCCTTGCCTACAACCCCTCTGAATGTTAATTCTATCAGAAAGGTTACCACCTTGGTTTATTGCAGATGTAATATCTGTATTAAAAAGGGATACCCACTTCTTGATTGAGGGTCCAAAGTTAAAAAAGTTAAGTGCGCCTTGTATAAAGTTCCATGAAAGTGTATCAAAGGCTTTTTCAAAGTCAATAAGTAGTAATAATCCAGGTATATTTTCTTCCTCAGTGTAATGCATTATGTCATAAATTAACCTGGTGTTTTCTCCTATATATCTATTAGAGATGAAGCCTGTTTGATCTTCATTAATTATTCTATCTAAATAGCATTTTACTCTGTTTGCAATGGATCCAGATGCAATTTTATATACCGTATTTAGTAAAGTAATAGGTCGCCAATTCTTTAAGAATTGTCTAGGTTTATCACCTTTTGGTAACAAGGTAATGATACCATGTTTTTGTGTAATAGATAGACTGTTGTGCTTATATCCATAATTAATAGATCTGACTACAAAAACCCCAATATATTTCCAAAACATCTTGAAGAATTCTGCAGAGAAACCATCTGAGCCAGGGGATTTATTTGATTTCATTTTGTAAAGTGTAGAAGAAGCTTCTTCCATAGTAATTTCGCCTTCTATAGATTCTGATTCTTTATATGAAAGCTTAGGAATTTCTTTATTTCTTAACTCTTTGAATATATCATTATTTGTAGTATCTGTACTTTTTTTATATAACTGTTCATAAAAACATTTTGCTTCTCTTAAAATTTCTGTTTGGTCATAAATAACATTTCCATTATCATCTTCTAATCTTGGTATTATCTTGCTTGTAAAGTTTCTTGATTCTAATGAACAAAAGTACTTTGATGGTTTTTCACCTTCCTCCACCCATTTTGCTCTACTTCTGATATATGAACCCTGTAGCTTATGTTTTCGAATATTTTCTAATTCTTGCTTATTACTAAATAATTCATCAATATTATTTTCAGAAATATTTTCTTCCAATATCCTGATATTTTCTATCAATTCTTTCTCCTTATTTTCCTTTTTCTATTTTATGTAAGTTGCATAGGATATAGTTTTTCCCCTTATTTCAAAGAGCAGGGTTTCAAGAAATAATTGATCATTTATAGTGAAGGAAATATCTGAATCAATAATATTATTTAAGTTATCCATATTGTATACTGGAATTGCATACTGTTTTTTAACATTTAAGATAACATTTTTAATGCATTCCAAATAATTTTCATCATATAGTAAAGAATTATTAAACTTCCATAAACCCCTTCCTTTCTTAAAATCATTAAAAGCAATAGACAGTGATATTATGGAGTGATCTGATCTGTAGCTAGATTCTATAGTGCATTTTTCTAACCCTGACAAGAGTGACTCAGATATTAAAAAGAAATCTAAACGACTTTGTTTCAATGGAGTTTTTCTTCTCCAAGAGTATCTACGAACATTTTCGTGTAATTGTCGAAAAGGGTCAATATAAGAAAAATTTTCTATTATTTCTAAAATCTTGTCTCTTGCCTTTGGATTATTAATCGATTTATAATTGTAATAATCTAAGTCTGGGTTTATAACTAGATTAAAATCCCCACACCAGATAATATGACTACAATGCATATCATCGATATGATTTTGAATGTTTTCATAAAAGAGTGGTGTGTCAATATTAGGACCATAAATAGTGCATAACAATACTTCATGGCCCTCTATACATGCTTTAAGTAAAAAATAGTTTCCATCAATATCACCCTTTTCTGCAATAGGTTTAAAATCAAAGTTATTATTAATAAGAATTGCGACTCCTCTGGAGTTTGTAGTATATGAACTAAAAAAGCACTGGTATCCCCACAAATTTCTTACTTCATTTTCTATATCACAGGAGAAGTGTGTATCTTGCAAGCAATAAATATTATATTTCAACGATCTTAAATAATTAAAAACATCTTTGCGTTTTGCAATATCGCCTAAACCTTGGCAATTTACGGATATAATTTTAACCATTTGGTATAATTATTGTGCAAAAACTGTTAGATACCCAACGGAACGATGGAGGTGAACTCATGATTTAAATATGTAGAGATTCAGAAAAGAAGAGAAGATAGAGCAAAGAAGAGAAAAGCAGTAAAAAAGATCAGACAATGATATTCAACGATAAAAAAAGTTCCACGAAAATACAAGTTGACTACCGTGATAAAGTGAGTCACTGTTTGGAATGTCAAAAATAAACACATATGACACCGGAAATACATTTTACCGCACTAAAATCAGTTGAGGTACGGACGGATATTTTAGTCCCGGATCTTATTTACCTTGTGTGCAATATCATCAAGAATGTCAAACTTCACTCGTTTTTTCTTCACCTCTCCGTAAACCGACCCATTGAAGTACCATGCCGATGAAACACCCTCACAGTCCAACAGGCGCGCGATCAACTCGCCGTTCTCCTTGGTAACGTCATCGCCTAGTCGAATGTTACCGGGGGCTGCCTTCACTTTTGACCGCTTTCGCATTATATGGGCCTTTTTGTCGTTATTTGTCATTTTCATGAGAATGGGTTTTGGTCCTTTACCCTTGGATCCAGGTATCCTGTGGCATGCCACAATGTCACATTCGTTAACCTCTACATCCCCTTTCTCCTTCAATACAGATTTCACGACCTCTATAATATCCTCGTCTTCTGTTTCCTGGACACCGTAAACTTTAATATTGTTTTTTCTGCTGTATTGTTCATTATAGTTAGCTTTCACTGTGGCAAAAGTAGCAAGATCGTTCAGCTGATCCATTTCCTTTTTCAGTTCTCTATTGTTTTTGTTAGTTTCCGACAGTTTTTCTTTTAGAGTTTCGTTTTCCATTGTTAATCTATCGACGTCTTTTGTCAGGTTATCGATTCTTTTATTTAACAGCGTTTCTCTTTTTTCTGCATTTGCTTCATGAATCTTCAGAAGTCCCTTCACTATATTAGTCACCATTGATTCTAAATCGCACGTTTTCACCGTTTGTTGCAAGCATTCTTTAATTTCAAGTAGATCAGCTTTTAATGACCCTATTGTCAAGTCATCTGTTATTTCAACCGTTTCATTTCTTTCAGATTTACTTTTTTCTGACCCTTTCTTAGTACCAGGCATGTTTTTGTTTTTATTTGGATGTAGCGTCAACAAAGTCTTTCACAAGGGAAAACAGCACGAACAAATCGAGGTGTTTAAAGATCGTAGTAAACAGTACTCACGACTGTGTAGACTGTGTAGAATCTCCTTTCTTTAAAAAACACAGATAGATCGTTTCAAATATTTTTTTTTCACAGTGTAAAGGTTCCTCTTAAGTTATTTTAGCACACTGTTAGGAAATCCTTAGTCACAATAGTCATTAATTCACTAAATATCTCCAAACTCGCGCTCACCGAAAAAACACCTCTTACCTCACGAGCGCCATCTTGCTTTTTTCTATTTTTCATTTATACACAACGAGATTGTCACTTTTCCTAAGGATTAAGAATAAAATTAATTTGTGAAAGCGCAAGGATTTGTCAACCAAACCCTCCAAAAAATTTGAAATTTTAATATCTTTTATATGAAATAAGATTTTTGATCAATTTTTGTGTGAAATGCTATCAAAATATATAAGTCGTAATATTATAGAGAAAATTATAACTTCAAATCTGTGTCCAAGTACCTTTAAAGCACTTTGAAAAATGCGTGTCAATGCTTGGTCAATATTTTTGCAAATCTTAGGTATGAAAAATAATTGAACCTGTTTGATAACTCTTTGATAATGAGGTCATCCCAGGATGTGAAAGGGTGCGATTTTTATTTTTCCATACCCTGAAGCCCCGCGGGGATCCGGGTTAGAATAGGTCCTCAGTACCCCCTTGCTTGTCGTAAAAGGCGACTAAATGGGTGGTCCTTCGGATGAGACCGTATAAACCGAGGCCCTGTGTCATAACAGGTGTGGCACGATAAAGATCTCTCCCTGTTCAAAGGCCCTAAGTGCCGAGCATAGGCCTAAATTTGCAGCCATTCACCGGCACTGGTGACGTCTCCAGATCAGTGAAATATTCTAGAGAGGGACGTTGAGCAGTATACAATCAATCAATCAATCCATACCCTGAAAATTCTATCTCTCTTAAATGTTTTACTGTATACTTAATTTTTTTAAGTTTGCATGCATTTTTATGTAAACTAAAATTTATTGAAAGTTTTCAACATCATACCAGTTATGCAAATACATATATTTGGGTGTAGCATAGGCATCGGTACCCGGACAGGCACACAAATGTTTTACAAAGATATATAGGCATTGAAAATTGGGGCTTACTTTTGAGGGGGTTGGGCACTTTCCATTTGCTACCGGCAGCTTTGTACAATGTATAAGAAAAAAAGTTGGGTTGAGAGCCGTTCTACATGTACTCGTCTTCGTCCTCTCTTTGTTTCCAATGAGGTTAAATGAGTACATGTAAATTAAAACGTTTTTCGAAAAATACACACTTATACACTGTAATTAATACAATATGAATTACTGAAATATGTCTAGAGTTTTTTTGTTTCATACATATTTTTTTCAAAATCGTTATATGTCCCCAAGATAAAAAGTGTTTATGTACACTCTTAACGCACTTTGAAATATTTTTTTCAAAGTGCGATGAGTGCGTCCCGAATTTCACGCACTTTGATTTTTTTTTCGAAGTGCGTTGCCACAACGCTACTAACTCTTTTGAAAAGATTTTTTAAAACTTTAATCTGTTTCTTCGCAGACTCAAAATCTTTTCCATTTAAAAATTGTCTTTCGCATTATATACAAATGCACGGCTCAATGCTTATCTATTTCCTGCCACAGGGTCCTTTAAATAAAGCGATGTTTTACATTAAATTTTAGCATTTGAAGTAAAAGAACCAATATCAAATTTAAAACATTCAATTTTATTTTGTTAAAGTACAATTTATTATATGTATAATCTTCAATGCGTCAATATTCTAAAGATAAAGAACGAAACAAACCTTGGTTAAATAGACAATGCAAAACAGCTAAAGGAAAATTTCACTTGGCTAAAAAAAATGCATAACTTGAGTAAATAAAAAGAAAACAAACAAAATCTAAAGAGACGAGTAGAAGTTTAATAAAGTTATGGATACTTGTATTAGAAAATATAAAGCTGACCTAACTCGCACTTAAAATACTAAAGCTTACTGGAAAATATTAATTTAAATTCTTTTATAAAGAGTCAAAAAGTGAAGAGGTAGTTTAATATTTGAAAGGTACATATGTATTAATGAATGTAACAATGAGAATAATGATGATGATTTTAACTCGGCTGATAGAGTACTAGAACCGCGAGAATCTTCAAATGATATACTTTACTTTGAAATTAGTGACGCTCTAGTTATTGAGGCAGGAAATAAATTAAAAAATGGAAAAGCGTCTGGTGTTGTTAACATTGTAAATGAATATATTTCATCAACATTGTATACCATTTTACTTGTGTACAAGATGTTTTTAACATTATTTACGATAGTGGACTGGTTCCAGATGAGTGGCTAGTGGGTATTGTAAAACCTATTTACAAAAAGAAGCCCAGGGGCCACATCGCTCACCTGAGCACTGTGGCTTGGAAAAAGTAGAAACTGGTTTATTATTAAAAAGTCTAAATCCAAAAGTAGTCCCATTACCAATCATGGCTTTTCTTTTCTTGAGAAGATGATTTTTAAAGAATTGTCCTATGCATGTCTATGTAAAACTTTGATCAGCCAATTTGGCCCCGCCCTACCCCCTGGGGTCATGATTTGAACAAAATTGAATTTACACTATCTGAGGATGCTTCTATATAAATATGATCAATTATGGCTTTGCTATTCTTGAGAAAAAGATTTTTAAGAATTTTCCTATATATTTCTATGTAAAACATTGGGTGGCCATTTTGGTCCCCGCCCTACCCCCGAGGGTAATGATTTGAACAAACTTGAATCTACACTATCTGAGGATGCTTCCATAAAAATACGATCAATTATGGTTTTGCTATTCTTGAGAAGAATTTTAAAGAATTTTCCTATATATTTCTATGTTAAACTTTGTTCGGCCATTTTGACCCCACCCTACCCCTGGGGATCATGATTTGCATCTACACTACCTGAGGATGTTTCCACATAAGTTTCATCTTTCCTGGCACGGTGATTCTTGAGAAGAAGATTTTTAAACCATGCCACCAAATTTTCATTAATTCCCAATTATCTCCCCTTGAATGAGGGCGTGGCCCTTCATTTGAATAAACTTGAATCCCCTTCACCCAAGGATGCTTTGTGGCAAGTTTGGGTGAAAATGGCTCAGCGGTTCTTGAGAAAAAGTCGAAAATGTGAAAAGTCTACAGACAGACAGGCAGACAGCTAGACAGACAGCTAGAAAGACCGACGCCGGACAAAATGTGATCAGAAAAGCTCACTTGAGCCTTCGGCTCAGGTGAGCTAAAAATAAGGGCGATCCGACCTCCCCAGAAAATTACGGTTCTATTACTTTATTGAGCTGCTTGGTTAAACTTTTCACAAGTATACTAAGCAAACGATTAGAAATATTCGCAGATGAGATTGAACTTATTCAAGAGAATCAAGCAAGTTTTAGGAAAGAATATTCTACTTTAGACCATATCCTGACTTTATATTTTTTTATCAAACACACTGATGAAGTGTAAGAAAAAAATTGTACTTTAATAGATTTCAAGCAAGCGTTTGACACTGTTTAGAGAAACGGTCTCTGGAGAAAACATTTAAATCATGGAATTATAGGCAAATGCTTCACGTATAGCGTATAACGGGTATTTTTTACGTGTTGCTTATTTTGACTAATTTTTACAAATGAGTTTTATAAATCCGTAAAATTTAAACGCGTAAAATTTCACAGAAGTAAAATACGCCTCGCCTACATTTTGAACATCGTATTATGAGAGTATTTCAGTGCTATCACTGCCATTTAGCTAAGTACCCGGGCCGGAGGCTATAGATGTAGTACTGGTATTTTTAGGAATATTTAAACTGATTATCAATTTCGATCAAAGAATCAAATCTTAATGCATAAATTATGCAAACATCGTCAATTACCTGATTCCTCTTACCGGACACAAAAATTCTGATAATGGCTTACAATTATTACAGACTGAAGTCTTCAATATTATATCCGTTTTCAAGACTTTGACCCTTTCTTCTTTTTTATTTGCTTCCAGTAAAATAAGTTCAACTTTTAAGTTTATTCAACTTTATCATGTTTTCAACACCCATTGCAGTCTTTGAAAAGAGGTGGAACCTTGTATAGAATCTACTATTTTGTTGCATTCAAGCTTAACACGACTCGTAAATAATCATACATATGCACCATAACTAACAACGAAATTAGCCTAGAGTATAGTCTTCGCATTCGTTACACTGGACAGCTTTATTGTCATGGATACATAGGTGGAATGGCCACTTATGATCTAAAAATACACGTAATTAGAAGTTGGTGTAAGTTTTAGACCAAATACTGGCGGAGCTATGGTTAGATGATAGAGATAACGAAGAGTATTCAATTTCAAAGTCCATAAAACAATACAAAACGGGAGCAGAGCAAACACGGACCCCCGAAACATCAGAGGTGGGATCAGGTGCCATGGAAGAGTGAGCATGCCCTGCTGAGCGGTCATATCCGCCATGTGCTTTTTGTCATGATCGGGAAATAATAGACAAATCCGTCCCCAATTCAGTGTGTAAATAATGGACTAACAAAAAAAATGTCTCAGCTTTGCTACCGTAGAGAATGGTGTGAAAATTGGATTGATGCAACTCTTTAATACTTTCCAGCCGGGTGCAAGTACAGTTTTGATTCCTCTTATTAGAGAGGTTAAGCAGATGACCGTGTACGTCTACGTGTACGTGTAGCTAAGGAAATCCCCTAATTTAATGCGATTTACGTCATCGGTTTTACATACTGCGTAATTCTACAAGTTGTACACAACGTGTAGATTCGCAAGTACACGTAGGTGAAAACTTGTAGCTTCTTAAACTCAATCTACAAAATAATTTTTTTTTCAGGCGGTATTTAATATGAAGTTGAGAGTTTATTACGAACATCCAATGTATCTTTTTTATTTCAAGCCACAGATTTATTTGAT